CTCAGGAAACTCCTCTCTGGTAGTATCTCTAATCGCAAAAGATTTAGGAGTTCTGGCGCTCTAAGACTTAAAGTCTTACGCCAACTGTGACAGAAATGCCTTTCAAGCAAACCTTGCACTGGTAACATTGAAGCGCATTTTTCGTCAGTTTGACGGGAGAACTTTCTACATAATCTTCAATAGTTTCATTCGTCCCCATTTAGAGTACGGAAACATAGTATTCTCTCCTACACTCCAAAAGGATAAGGACACTCTAGAACGTATTCAACGGCGAGCCACGAAATCAGTTCGGGGACTCAAATTTAAACCTTACGAAGAGCGCCTCCAATCACTCGACTTTTACCCATTAGAGTATAGGCGTCCTAGCGGTGACCTTCTAATGACTTACGGTATCCTTAACACACCTGGACATCCTCCTAAACACCTACTTAAGCTTAGTCCCAACACTAACCTAAGAGGTAACACCCAGAAATTAGAGATACAACATAGTAGAATGGACTGCAGACACAACTTCTACTCCTTAAGAGTTGTCAAATGCTGGAATTTTCTGCCAGCTGAGCTAGTCCAAGCAACTTTCTAGGAGTCCTTTAAGAGGCGACTTGATCTATTCTTAAGGACTAAGGATATTATCTTACTATGATTTACCAATTTATTTTTTTCTCTTTTATCGTTAATATACCTAGGTTCCTGCCTGGATTTATTGGCGATCCCCTGCTACTAGACACTGAAGCCTGTTAAGCGAAAGCTTCTTCTATTCCGTCCACAACCATTTGAACATTTGAACATTTGGATACTGGAAACAGCGCTGAGTATTTAATCAACGTTGCTGCTGGTTGTCGTTTTGTTAAAGTAACTTTCAGTGGTCTTTTTTTTCAGCTCTTGTAGGCTTGACGAGAACGTCACTCATTCACTTTTCTAGCGCTTCCATAAGAAGCGTAACTACATGATTTTTAGTTATACATGGCCCTGGCCCTATAAATACAGATGATAATATTAATAGCATTGTTCACTTCGTTCATTAACTATTGTCAATAATGTTAACTTGAGTGAAAGACAGAACTTTGAGGGGTTAAGGTTCCAATTTCTAGACATTACCCTTCAACAGGTAATTTTTGGGAAAAGTCGCACTATCTACCTGGGCTGGGAAAAAGGCGACAATACATCACACCAACATATAAGGATTTTTAAGAAATTACCTTTAGTTTTGCATTTATTTCCCATCCCTTGTTTACTTAGGTTGTTGCGAATAAATGGTAAGATTTCAATCAACTAGGGTTATAATCTCAATGGACGTTGCAGAGGGTTTTCAACTGTCTGTCAGCGTTAAGACCTAACTACAAATAACTTGACTGATTGAAACTAGCTCGTTACAAATGTACTTTAATAACCAGTGTAGAGTTGGACAACAAGGTTCACTAAGACTTATTCTTTGTCTCCCTCCATACCTTGGTCGTACAAATTAGTTTTTATTTTCTGTCTACCAATTTTATTTGTTCTTTTTGATCCGTACTACCTATTCATCTCCGTAATTCACTACATCAGCACACCGTCAGGATAATATGCCAAAATGGCAGACCGCTTTGTCCTGTTAATTTTCATCAACTCATGCGCTTAAGACGCTATTCATGTCCCTACTTTGGTGACCAGTACAGTTAAAGCAGGGGTGGTTTAAAAATAAGGCTAAAGGTGCCTAAACCAAGAGTTGGTTTAAGATCAAGCTGTCATTGATTTCTAGTATAAACCCTGTGGAAAAATGCAAACTACTTGCTTGTAATCTATGTGATAATCGCAATAATATGCTCAAAAATCTGAGTGACATGACTCGACATTTAGGGCGTTGTCGCAACTTATACTTAGTACATGAATCCCATTTACATTTAAAGTCAAATACATATATTTTATATTATGGCATGAATAATATTCTAGTTCGTCAAAAAAAGTAAAATGTACACTAACGGTCTTATGGAGTCAGTCAAATAAATGTCACCGTACAATACATTAAAAACAAGCCAGATTTTACTTTACGATTTACGTCTTGTTGGTTCTCTTTGTCACTTAGAATGACACAAAATACGAGCATTCCAGTCAGTTATCCTATGATGCCTCCGATGGATGATTTAAATAAATATGCACATTTATTGCAAGTCATTGAAGAAATGGGACGAGATATTAAACCAACCTATGCCAATAACAAAAATGCCGCAGAAAGACTTAAAAAGAACATTCACACTGCTAGGATTTTAGTGAGAGAATGTGTTTCAGAACTCGAACGTGTTATGAAAGCGTAGTATTTTTGTCTTCTATCCTTTATCTATTGTTTTCTTTAAATAAACAAAACAAACTTCCATCTTTTGCTTTTCAACTCATAATGTACATTGTGGGTTCGTTCTACTAAATGTTTTTCGCGTAGATCAGTGACTTTCAAAGTTAAAATGACTTCGGGATATCTAATAGTTTTATGTATTCGTTTCATTATCGTATATAAATCGACTGAGACTGTTGGTATAAGCTTGTTAAGTCCCTGTTGGTAATGTTTATTTAACTTGACTTCATACGGCTAACTGAATTAAACACCTTAGGGATCGCGCTTGCATTCGGTGTCATAAATATGCTGCAGCATAAAGTTGTATTACATAAAATGTGATATGAATGAATCTCAAGTATATATATATATATATATATATATATATATATATATATATATATATATATATCATCGTACATGTATGTCAAAAAATGTCGTGAACCAAAATTATAGTATTTAGACCAAATAGACGATCGTCAGAGATTCATATAAGTACATGTTTACATAGGTAAAAGGTTTCAGTTACGTATTAGAAGTGCAAAATAACTAATATCACAATTATACATCTGACTGTCAAGTATGTCCCTTATTTCTTTTAGAGAATAGATGTACAAACAAACTGAAAATAGTGAATTGGTTACTCTGTCCAAAAATAAGGACATTGTTGTTAGAAGATACTGTCTTAATGCCCAACAGGAAGTAGGTCATATTCTCAGAGGACCACTCCTCGAACGCCCAGCCTACGAGTCTGGTCCACAAAATATTGGCGCTATGTTAGAAGATGGAGTCTCATATACCTGGCAACCAAATAGATTCAAATGGCGTTCGCTCCCACATTAAAGCAGTACGTAAGGCTTCCCTGATAAGCTAAAAATTCCCTGGGCATTTAACAGTATTTCTAAAGGGGAAGTGTAATTATTTTACCATCAGGCATACCAAGATATTTGGGGTTGGTAACTCTGTACTGCCATTCTATTGGAAACGCTGTGAACACATAAGACGGAAATTAATTGTAAACTTTTAAAGGATACGATTACAGATTGTATGCAGCGGAATCCATTTCCAAAATTCTGAATAATAAAAATGAGGGAATTTTTTAATACCATGAGGAATCCATTTTTCTGCTTGTAGCCGAATTAAGTACCTAACTGTTGAAGTTGATAAGACTAATTACAACAATTGCTTGTGTTTACAATATTTCCCAGATATTTCTACAGTTGTCAACGAACATATTAATGTTCACAATAACAGAAACAGGTTATTAAGAAAAGAGACAATAGAACACTACATAAAGATTTTTCAGTTAGGTGCGGATATAAACCAACAATCTTTTTAGCGACACTCCCCAAATACATATCTTCAGTTTAACTGGTAGCTACAATAAAAAACAAACCTTTCGGTTAGACTAATTTATGGACGACCTTCGAGCGACTCTAAAGTGGCCCTGGGTGTGTCCACCAACTTACTAGAGTTAATGAGGGTCATAAATCCATGTTAATAAGAAAGATTATGATTTGCAGTTGGTGGTCAGGGTTAGGAATTTAAACTAGGGTTTTCATCACAAACTGATATAAGCTAAAATGCCAGAACGCTATTTGGTCAAATGTGTGAATGAATTTCGCGCCGAAATCAAAGACCTGTTATCCTAAGTCCATATGTTAGTCTCGCCGTCAAAATATTGTACAAAGCCTTCCATATACATGTTACATCCGAAAATAACACTGACAGTAGCATAAGGTCATAGGTTAGAAGGAATTAGTTAACTAATCGACCAAAGCTAATATAATGCAAGAATGAAGTTCAGATAGTCACGAATGGTATTACGAGTTGGAAGACGAGTGGGGATGTGTCCAAGTTGCGTTCCTAATAGATCCTGTCCTGCCTCAATTTAATTCCTTAAACCTAATTAGGTTGAATGTACGTCATTAATAGTAAACCAGATAATATCTTTAACTAAACAGATCGAAGTATTTAAAGAATGCTGCTTGTCATCCACTGAAGCTAATCAGTATATCTGGCTAAAATTCAATCTATGTTTAGCAAGTGAATAAGCTCTAATGTTCTGGTAGTTATTACTTGGTTGTTCTCAGCACTTCCGTTCAGTGGACACAGTCACAGGTTTTCCCAGAACATTCACGATTGCTCATGCTGAAATCGATGGCATTTGTACGTTAGACATATAACTGCCTACTTTGATCTAATTTCTGTTACTTCAGCAAGGTAAATTAAAACACAGCACAAATCTCAACACGCTTGAAAACTATATGTTTATTTTACCTATCGAACTAGTAATCTATTTTAAATACACTTTTATGATTAGATTTAATTAGAGATTTGAGTAATAAGGACAGTACTACATAAAACCCACATTTTCGCATGATCAACTTTATTTATGAAAGCATCAAACGATAAGTTACTGAGACTGTACTATCAAATAAAACGACTACATCAGAGGTGTAGTGTTATGTTCCTTTCCGGACCTAGATAGTGAATCTTAAAAAATAAAGTTGTGCTCAACGATCTCTAAGCCTCAAAATATTTATAAGTATAAGCTAATTGGAAACCATTAAATTAAGTAATTATGCTATTTTGTGAATGAAAGTCACTTATGCTAAAATTTTCAACGTCTTACATTTTCCAAAACATCAGTACTTTTGGTTAACTAAAACACGAGACAGTCACAGTTAGCTAAAAATAAACAATGTTACAAGCCCTCTATTTTTTTGCAAGTAACGAATACATGAAGAAACATATGTAACAAAATATCTCGGAAACAATACATGGAAAGCAAAAAAATAAAATATTAACACGATAACAATATGTTGAAAAAATTACAGAATAGATCGCCATATACAGTGTTATCGTGAAGTAATAAAACCAGTATAGCAGAAAGCAAATTATCTGAGAAAGTAAATAAAATTATGTACAGGATATAAAAGAGATATGTTCAATGATAAATTCTAACCATATAATACAGTTATACAATATATTATATACAAGACAATACAAATTATATAGTTAAAATCTTGTGTGAAGAAAAAGCTTATAGAAATTTAGCAGCCCCCGGTGATAAAGTAATCATCGCTAATTTAGTAAGAACAGGAATAGAATGACTAGGTGGTGATTGTTCGAAAACTGAATTAGAAGTATTCAATTGTTTACGCCTTTTTGTAGGCGTACATTCACTATTCACATTTTTAACACAATTAAATGATGCTCTATCTGGAATTGGCGATAATTTCACTTGAACAATAGGCATATCATTTTCTAATGGTTTATTTATTCTAGTTGATGAAGTTAATGGTGAAGAACAGTGAGATCTTGAGGGTGAACGTTCAAATCGATTAAATGAAAGAGACTTATGTGATTTGATATAATAATTATTTGTTTTACGCTTATGATTGGGACTTTCTACATGCTTGTCTGCTCTCCACATATTACAATTTTCCGCGACTAGTGTTAATGCAGAACGAAGTCTCTGTTTAATGGTATCGGAAACAATCAGACATTCTTTAGGAATAGCACTAATATTGAATGAATCAATGTTTTCGTTTACTTTTATAGTTGTATTAGGTATAGAAGTCTGCAAAAAACTAGAGTTGTTTTCACTAACAGTATAAACAGATGAAGACTTTGACTCGTTATCAGATTCCTTAATGTAGGACATATGTTTACCCTGATCAACACGCTGATGCGAAGGATTACTATGAGCTAAAAACAATTCCCAATTATCATAAACAGATTCACCGATATGAACAGTCCGGAGTAATTCACTGGATACTAGACTATTTTGTTTTTCAAGAGCAGTCAATTGGATTTCAGATATACGCCACATTCTCTTAAACAAAGCTAACTTTCGTCGTTCTCTTTGTAAGACCATATCTGCCATTAATCTAGCCCTGTCAAGACCGAATCTGATACGTTTGAATGACTCAAATGCTTTCATATCAGAATTAGCACGTTCTACTCGAGCTAGTTCTTCCTTGGTCGTGGCAGCTACTTGATCAGCACTTTCTTTCCAAGTTAATGGAACTGGATTGACTAGTGGTTGGTTAAAGTTTGAGCGCCTTTTCAAACGCCAGTAAACGAAGATGGCTGCACGGATGTCATTAGGAATGTGTCTGTTTTCACTAACATTTTGAAAAGCCGAATTTCCTAAATGCATTTTCATAGAGTCATTATCTAGCCAGATATTCAAGTGGGACTCTTGCACCAAATTATGAAAATTACACTCCAGTTCAAGGAGTCTGTAAATAAAAAGAATGCAAAACCAAAACATTAATGCGAATTCATATGGAAATTATCTATTTGAATCAAAAATACTAAATTTTGATGAAAAACTGTGAAATACATGTCGACATCATATGAGCTAGACTACTACGTACTCCAACCTCACGATAATTACATAAGAGAGAATTACCACTCGATACTGTGTGGAGGACTTGATATAAAAGTCTAAAAACCCATACTTGTGCGATGATTTGCACTAAATTCGAATTATTTACATCTTTAGCGATAAACGAGGACCTCTTATCAGTCAGCTACAACGTAGGATTTGTGTGGCGCATATGTATTTGGTGCCTCCCTGTAACGTAGGATCAGGCATATATATGCATTGGTCCAAGTTGCCATATTTCATTAGCATAACAAGATGAACGCTGGATTCATAGTAGTTAATTCAATGGTAGTAATGCATAAAAGAATGTTTGTGTATAAGGATATAATACGGGAAGAAATAATTAGTTCGTAGAAAGAAGGGTATAAAGCAGTTTTAGTCTCACGGTTTAAGGAAGGACAAGGAGAGTATACACCTACGCCATTGTGATTGATTCTGAGCCATGTCACTCAGAACCTCCAACCACTGGTTACGATAGTTGCGCGGACCCTAACCAAGTAGTCTGCATCTATCAACACGGCTCAGACCAAAAGTTAGTGACTTTGTGGACTGATGCCACATTTTAGTTTGGCTGCCCCGAACCTTCTTCCAACCGTCTCCAACACTAGTCAGCATTGCACGTCGTGTTCAGAGCATGATATAAGGGTTTACGAGAATCTATCAGTGCAATAGGTTTAGTAGACCCTTTGGTTCAAGTCATTATTAATTGTCGCTGCTGTTTGTATACCTTTCCAAGCAACATCTGGGTCAACCTCGTTTTCAGAACTACCTAGGTGTGACCTCAGTTGTTCCTGGAATCTACTTTTGGCTTTCTCATCGTTGAGTTTAACTTTAATAGGTTTTTTCAATGTGGCTTTTCTACGTCCAGTGAGGCGCAAGCAAAGGCATGCTCGTATTAGAGCAAGATCGGAGTCTAAACATGTATTCCAGAATGATCGACAGTCTTCTATCGACCTTCTCCAACGATGACTGATGGCAATATTGTCTAGTTGAGTTCATCGTCGGTTTGATGCAGGGGGTCGCCATGTTAGATGATGTCTCTCCTTATGCTTAAAATTTGTGTTTGTTAAAAATAAACGATTGTCTGAGCAAAGTTGCAGCAGACGATCACCATTATCTGTTCGCTGTGCCAGAACACCAAAATACCCACCTAAATATCTTTCTGTTTGGTTTAAGCTACCTATCTGGGCATTAAAGTCGCCTCCTACGAGTACTGTCTGAATGTTTAGCTTTCTGAAGTTCAGAGAGCTTTCTGTAAAATTCATCTTTCACTTCATGCGAGCTGCAGTCAGTGGGCGCGTAGGCAGAAACGACGTGTCCCTATCCTTCCAAGTCCTTACGGTGCCGTTAAGCCGAACATCACATAGGCGACTGGTAACAGGGATCCATTTTAATAGTGTTTGTTCTGCCCTCGTACTTAGTGCTATGCTTACACTCGCCAAGCCACGAGAACTAACAAAGAATCGCCGGATAATCGAAGAGCGTATCTCGTCGGCTCTCGGTTTTGGCGAGGTTGTGTCAAGTGAATGGCCACGCTAGGATCCTGTATGCGTGTTTCGAAGATACAACATATATCAACTGTACATGATTCTAGGGTTTTAGCCAAGGAGGTCTGCTGACCGATTTGACATAAGGTGCGTACTTTGAACGCTCCAATGTGTAGTTTGGAGCGAGGTTTAAGTAAACCTGGAACAATGTTTCGTGCACTAGAATTGTTGGCCATGGTGACAATTGAGGAGGAAGTCAAAAGAAAGAGTTTGAAGTTCAAATTCGAGGTAGAAGGAATAATAGGAATTGAACAGGGAGATTGGTTATGAATACAGTGATCTTGATTGCTGTTAGAAGTATGGGGAGGTTTCCACTCCCCAGTTCCCATACCGTGGAAGGGTTTTTCTAGAAGTATCTGAAAAGGAAATTGGGTTAGAGGTGGTCTTAGTGACCTGATAGCCTGACCGCAGTGTCCAAGGAACAACTGCTTGAGGTCGGTCACACACGACCTTTTTGTGAGTAATTTTCGTGTTACCTCCGTACTTGTTGAGACCTTATCGCCGGAGACGGATATCCGTGGGATAAAGCGAGGTGTGCATTTTCAAGGTCAAGCTTTTCTAACTCCACGCCACCTTGTGGGAAGGCAGCACCGCTGTTATGCTGGTTGCCAGAAGGAAACACCTTACTGCCATCACACCTCTGTACAGTCAGCAGTACGACTTCGCCCTCGAACCTTGGTTTCGCTGCTTTTAGTCTTACCGCTCTTCAACCGACCTGTCTGGAATGGTAGGACCTTGAGGAACGATTGTTCCAGCGAGTATAACTCGATTGGTTCGTTAAGATAGGCAAGTTCGAACACCACGTCAACGTAGCAGCTACGTTCGGGTTGCTAATAATTCAAAACTAGACACAGGATAACTGAATATTGACCAAATTATAGCTGAGTCAGTCAGTCAGTAACAACGTGGAACTTCGTACGTACGTACATCAGTTCGAGTTGCCATACCACATTAGCACAGAGATTCAGTTATCGATTCAAATCCCATAGTGGTAGAGGTACTGAAAGTATAAGTAGTGATAGGGAACATTAAGGTTTGATGATGTTATTTAAGGAGTATAGTCCAGTGGAATAAATTTGGAAAGAAAATAAAGGACATGAAGAATTCAGAAGATTAGAGTTTGGGAGAACACAAAGAGTGGATGCACCTGTGTCATTGCAAACGATTTTGAGCCATGTCACTCAAGGTCTCTAACCATCGGTTGCTATCATCTCGCGGTCCCCAACCAAGCAGTCTACACCTACCAACATGGCTCAGTCCACTTGTCAGTGACTTCATGGATTTGTACCATGATTTGGTCTGGCCGCCCCTAGCTTTCTTCCAACCTACTCCCTACACCAGAAAACATAGCACGGAGGTGAGTGATACTATATTTTACAATCTTGGATCGTCAACATAACCCAAGAAAATGAAAAAACCGAAGATCTATCGAAAAGGAGATACGAAGATCCTAATGATGAAGAAAATGAATGACTAAACAGGGAGAAATCAAAGTGACATTTAACGTAGATTAGTTATTTACAAACTAAGGTCAGTAAGAAAACAATGAATTAAGCAAATATTTTTCAAATGAATTGATATCAGATGGTTGGTATCTAAACAAATTTCTCAGAATCCTTCTCATTTGCTATAAGGATTGAAATATGTGAGCCAGGATAGACGTTATATAATAGTCAATAAAGTTGATTTGGTAGGACGACAGATTAAAGAAACTATGATGATTATTAAGATTATTTTTTGGAAAGAAGGGTCAATGATATATAAGAAAACGACTGGAATGGTTGATGGGGCATCCTAAGAAGCAGTCAATCTAAACTTCGATAACTTAATTTGTTTGCTATTTATCAATAGACTGAGGAGTGGGATAGGTCTTTTAACACTTAATTATGTTGAAAAGGTTTGAATAGCCGAAATGGTATAAAACAATGGGTCTTCTCATGATGCGAGTCAAAAGACACTAGGTTGATAGGCCCCCAAGTGCCCTGGAACGGCCGAGGGTTGGTAGAATCCGCATAATATGTGTCTAAAGAATGCTAATCCACAAACACTCACAACTTACCCCATTGACTTATCATATTTTTCTAGGATTATACTTCTAACTGAATAATTGTTTAGTTAGAGACTATACTGTATGGAAGCACAGTATCAGAAATATCTATAGTGATATCATAAAAATCCTTGCATACTTAACCCTAATGGGCCAGGTCACATCCGAAAAGTACTAGAAAGAGAAGAGTTGCGCAATACACACCCTTTGGTGGAGAGATGAATCTCGCCTTTCCCATGAGTAGTTAGCCGGTCAATCATGTGCAACGTAGAACTTGGTACATATCTGCAATAGTTCAAGCTGCCACACCATATTAGCACAACGAGATAAAATTATTAAAACAAATGCCAGAGAATTATAATTAGTAGCAGTATTGGTAGTAGTAGCAAGTACTATATATAAAAAAGAATAAGTTATAAGATTTTGGGACTCAAGTTCTAAGAGACAAGAAATCAATGCATCTGGAGTCACTCAGTCTATAACCAGTCGTTACGATAATTACATCAACATCTTCACCAGATGTATTAATTTACTAAAAGTCAAAACAGCACTTTAAGTTACGATAATGTATGAACCAGCAACTCATTAGAACTGATAAAAAATACTAGGTTATATTAAATAGTATAGACACTCGATTGTTTTACTCTTTATCGTCAAATCAAGCACTAGTGTAGACCAGTCTTGTAACGATAATTTAGGTGGAAACCACATCTCAAACATATTTGCACTTGCATTGATTAGGATTCATTTCATCGAAATTCTCGCCAATTAAAATTACTAACTACAACTAAACAACACTTTCAGAGCACAAAAATAAATAATAGTCTAGCGAATCATTTCAAAGGCCTACATACATAAGATCAAAACAAGAAATGCTATGAATATAAAAGTAAACACAAAATACTTCGGGTTTCCATAATTTAAAGCAAACAGATGGATTTGGTGTAGAAATAAGAATTTAACTAGATTAAAACCACAAAACATTTTCATTTAGCGCGAATGATATCCGTTAAGATAAAGCATACACATAGGAATTAAGAACTGACCTTTGTTTACGCGTTAAGGCTACGGGTTGCATTCCACTACCAAAGTTTTGATTTGCATCATGCGCCTTGATAGGAGAATTCGGAGCACGAAAAGAATTTGAGTCACAGCTAGCAGAAGAATGATGAGTTGTTGACTGTTGCTCTTTTCGGGAATGCTTCCAACACAACCCCTAAAGTACGTTTAGAAGGTAAAATTAAGCTTTATGAAAACTGCTAGCACCTATCGAAACGCTTAAGAAAGAACGGAGTATGACACCTTTCTTTTTTAAGTATGATATGTGCATTTTAGTGAGAGTAGCTTTGGTTAGTCAAAAAAATTAGAAAATTATCTTATGCACACTTCAAGAGAAAATATTGTGCTCAATATGAGCTTAGAACTGGCCAAATGCAATACAATACACTAATGCCACTCGGTAACCAAATTATGTGTGGTTATTTTATTATTATTTAAACACATTGGTACAGGGAGGTACTAACTAGATATGTGCCACATAAATCATTCGATTTACGTGAGGTCTGAATAACTGCCCAGGTGCCCAAACCGAAGCAGGTAGTTTTCTTAAGGTGCCACATCCCGAACCTTTGACCTAAAAGTCTAATCCACAAGGTAGTGGAGCAACGTCAGGAGATGCAGTCCCATGGTATCCGGTGACCAACAATAGGTTCATACGCCATTTGTTCCCTCAGAATCCTGAAGCTCGTATGCATCGTTCAGTCAGTCATCTACAACGTAGGATCAAGCATATATATGCATCGGTCCAAGTTGCCATATTTCATTAGCATAACAAGATGAACGCTGGATTCATAGTAGTTAATTCAATGGTAGTAATGCATAAAAGAATGTTTGTGTATAAGGATATAATACGGGAAGAAATAATTAGTTCGTAGAAAGAAGGGTATAAAGCAGTTTTAGTCTCACGGTTTAAGGAAGGACAAGGAGAGTATACACCTACGCCATTGTGATTGATTCTGAGCCATGTCACTCAGAACCTCCAACCACTGGTTACGATAGTTGCGCGGACCCTAACCAAGTAGTCTGCATCTATCAACACGGCTCAGACCAAAAGTTAGTGACTTTGTGGACTGATGCCACATTTTAGTTTGTAGAACAGAACGAACTGCTGAGCAATACACTCGTCCTTTTATTGATAGACGGATATCTCGCCTTCGCCATAGGTGACGTTAGTCGGCAAAATCTAAACGAGCTCTCTGAATCTGTGCAGAGATTTCGTCAGACACTGTTATAATTCTCTCCTACAGTTATAACCCAGCTATTCCTATTGCTTAGTATTCTCGGACACAGATTCACTCGACAAGTCCCCGAATCAGAACATGGTTGAACAGGAAAGAGATTATATTCCAAATAACAAGGCTAGATGGAAGTAAGAAGCACAATAGGAAAACCGTTAGTATATTCATAGTTTTTACATGAGAATATTTCTAGAGTATTCTCCAAGTACCGACTAGCGCTGATTGGACAAGAATTGGCCAATCAGCGTGCGCCAAAGCAATCGTGCATTGAACATGCTTCAATCCAATCTATGTCCCGCTAACAGACACCAACCCATTAGGGCTGATCAGACTTCCAAGATAAGTTAAGTTGTGACCATGTGAGAGTACTTCGAGAGGAAGAGCGGACTCCCTACCCTCGATCGTACTAGGGCATTTAGGGGTCATGTGTGGTAGCTTACAATCATGTTATTCACAACTAAAGAGAAGGGAATGGTTCGATCTCGCAACCAATACCAAGGTTTGCACTGAAGCTTAGCTTGATTTCAGATTAATGTGAAGATTTGTAGGGGGTGTAGTAAGTAAGACTTTACCTGGAGTCCCCTCTATGGTAACTGCCTGTCCAAACTCCAGATAAAAAAGTAGGGTTAAGTGTGGGGTTAGCAACTCCACATAGTAAAAATAACTTCGCTAAAAAGCGCAAACCAGAAACAATTAATTATATTATGCCCTGGAAGTTGAAAAGTTTTGATAAGACAGTTAAGACACCTTACGATCAGTCACGACTGTCTACTCTCTCCATTTCTTTTCGCTAGGTATTGACAGGATCATGAAGAAATATCACAACCAAAAAATTATAGGTATTTACAGAAAGTCGTTTACACAAAATGCTCCAGATGCATTGGTCGGAGACTATCAAGAATAATAGACTGTGGCAGAGGACAAACCAACTGTCAAATGAGAAAAAAATTAAGAAAATACACTGGAGGTGTATACGACACAGAGAAAACTGGAGGCAGACATGAATAGCACTTAGTAACAAGTGGAAAAGAGAGCCCAGGACAGAGTTGGTTGGAGATCTTTCATTGAATGTCTAAGCCCCAGGAGGGGTAATAGGCTTACGTAAGAGTAAGCCACTTGTCTAATTGTGGACTTACATTAATAAGTGGACAGGTTTTATAGGACTCACACCAATTTCCAATACTGCTATAAGTTAGGAAAAAAATCAAAAATCAAAATAACTCATGGCATTATAGAGCAGAACCTTGATAAGAGATGTAAATTTTCACGTTAAAATCCGTGAGATAATGTCAGTTAATAGTTGTGATTATGAAAATATGATCCGAAAATCATCCTAATGAAGCATAGGTATCAATTATTTATTTCTTGTTAAGTTCGGAATAGTATTATTTTAAACTTCATATTATCAAGTTACTTTCCTTCATGATCTTTTACGCCTCACCACGTATTGTTGCATTCATTTGTGTTTTGTTGATATTAGGTGGGGTCTGGGAGTCTGTCCACATACGTCGTTGTTATGTTCTTCTACCTCTTCCGAAAATAAGTGATATGAACAAAAAAATTTATTACTTATCTTGATGTAAATAGGTGTCATTTGAAAGCAGAAAATGTAGTGTGTACAACATCATAATATTACCCTTACTTAAAAAACAGACCTACTATTAAGCGCACATCCTTGTCAACAAGCTCTTGGCGCATGACGAGGTTGCTTTGGAACGCACATGTGACATGAAATGCTGTCTTACATTTAACACTAGAACACTGTACAGGAGCACCATAGCGTGAACGACATATTGAACACAAAAGGTTTCGTCTAGCCTGTGGTATATTGTCTAGTTTTATAATGGGTTCCATCATTTCGACGTCACCAAACCCAACTTCGGGAACCCACAGTGCACAGCTAACATGACACCAACGTTGTCCGTCACTAAGAAAATGATTTCATGACACGCAACGTACTCTGAAAGTTTCATAGCTCCACCAGTATTTGGACATAAACAGCAGGGAGTGGTTGACTTGACACCCGCCTCACACTGTCGACACATCCATGATCCTTCAGGGATTTGAAGAATGCCATAACACGCCTGATGAACACACAGGAAGCAACCATCACAAAAGACCAACTCGTTGCCATCTTCACCTTCAAACTAAACCAAATAAGGGTATAACATAAACTACAAACCGATAAACATATGTCACATCTGGCATTTTCATCGAATTCTAAAGACTGCACGTCTATCTCTTTAATTTTCTCACGCATCTTAACATAAGTAAGATACTCCAGTGTACTGATGACCTTCTCAAGCATCCAGTCCTCAACAAGTACTTGTCCTAAGCATTCTCTTTCTTCGTTTACAGTTGCAATCCACGAGTAATCTAAATCATCGATATTGTAATATGGAGCAATCTTTTTCTTCTTAACCAACATATGAGTGGTTTCGTTAAAGTTACCACCAGCAGATTCAACTCGAAGTTTTTCAGGCCTTCGGGGATAAAATAAAGATATGACTTACATAATAAATCGAGGACAACGGCGCTTTTGGCATGAAATGTCAAGTTTCCTAAAGTAACAGTTTCGTTCACAAACTCACTTATAGACAGGTCGAGGTTGATTGCTAGCGTCCTTTACAGGAACTTGAACTCCTTCCCGATACCATTCAGACTTCCAAGAATTCAAAATTAGTACAAGATTATCTTTCCTTCCGCATTCACTGTCAGCACTAATCATCATTGCAGATAGAGGATGTCTATCAAAGACCTATGCCTGAGTAAAATTTGAAACAATTAGTACCTCTGCAGGAGCACTCTCATCACAATCAGGGAATGATGGCTCCCAGTGACGTAATATCCGTCTAACCTCGTCACAACTTCCCATTTCAATAATTTACTGCTACCGCGAGCATTCAAAGCACGCGCGCGTAAGATTAAACTGCAAGCTATATATAAGTCATAACATTTGCCTGAAAATAGCTATATTAGTGTGAATTAAACGAGAAATCCGAAGTTTTCGTCCACTTACCTAGAGATTGTTACTTTATGCTTGATTAAAATGACTGGCAAGAATTTACGTACCCTTGACCCCGAATCAAGGTCATTAGGATTCCATCTCAGCTCTATCAATAATCTCGGACTCTTTAACTGTTTGAAATAGATTAAAATGTTAGGTGGGGGACAAGATAAAGAATTAAATACAAATAACCATTGAGTCTCTTTTACATTGCTAGCCAGTGTGTATTTATGTCAATTGAAGGTCATGAATATTAGTAGTTGGTGTTTTGACATATCTATTTCACTGAAGTACGTAAATACTTCTAGATATTGTTGATGAATCATCATAGCTAATCATAAATATTGACGACCAGATTTTATTATCAACTGATATATTAAGCTATAAGTACTAACCAATATTACAATACGATAATACACGTAAGCATTAATCAAAGGACCGACAAAATAATAGGTTAACATAAGTAAGAACCTATCGATAAAGTAAAAGTGGAAATGAAGACCAATGACATGCTGCGTTTCTTTGGTCGGTCTCACCGATGTAGATCACTAACAGATATGATCCTTTTCGAATGATTGGAGGCCTACTGTAATCCAGGTTTGCAACCACGTAACCGAAGTTTGTATGTTTGACGGAGAAAACCCTGAATTACACTACGAATATGCTTACGTTTGAACTTTCGGCTAACAGAAGTTTAGAGCGAGTGTCAAAGTGTTAAGTGGTTACATGTATTGGTATTATATCAACAAACCTGGGAGTTATCGACCCGTAAGCCTGATCAATGTGGCTGTCAGAATTTTAGAAAACATTGTTCAGAGGGAGTTGCCTAAGCACCCTGACAAAAATCAGATTCCTTCTGCTTGGACGCAAACAACTTGCTATCCGAAGCCACTGCAATAAACAATGGTGCAAGAAGAAGTATTAACAAGCGTAATCAGAACACATCAAATGGTGCTCACTGAGACAGTGCACGAATTAATATGAAGTTACTTAGAATAAGCTCAGATTCAATTGAAGTACATGGGCTTATAAAAATGTCTGTTCTTAATAAAAGCGTAAAGAATGACGTTTCTCCTCTCACCAGCCCTCCAAATGGAATCGAACAGGAAACGCCTAGCAAATTTTAATTGCAAAGTTAGGTCCGTTTCAAGTAGGAGAAACAACAACCTGACTACCGAGTTCATCAGCAGTCGTCCAGGATAGCACAGAGTGTGTAACGTGACCGTGATCGCCAAAAGTTGATGAATGAGTACAGAACAAGAGCAAGAAACGACTTTATGTTGCTAAAGGAAAACAAGTCGTTCAAACAGTAGCAGGAAAATTGAAGACTGATCATAGTGGCGGGTGGGTCATCTTTCATATAGTCAAGTAGAGTGAAAGCTCAGAACCTACAACTCGTTTGACGAATGACATCGAATCGATGAAAGAGCAAATATTCAGGTAATACCTCTGGACATCTCTGCAGTCGCTTTGCAAAAGGTTCATAGACGACCCAATCAACCAATAAAGGGGAAATAAAGGGGAAAGCGCGCCAAAATGTCGCCTTTTTCGCCTGTCCGGGGGAAATAATGCGGATTTCCAACTTTTTGTCGCCTTGTCGCTAAATTGTCTACTTTTCGTCTAAATTTCCGCCAAATTGTCTACTTTTCGTCTAAATTTCCGCCAAATTGTCTACTTTTTGCCTAAAATTCCGCCAAATTGTCTACTTTTCGCCTAAAATTCCGCCAAATTGTCTACTTTTCGCCTAAAATTCCGCCAAATTGCCTAGTTTTCGCCTAAATGCACACAGAATTGCCTGTTTTTGATCCAACTTTTAAATCACCATTGGCATTACCCAAAAGGTATCTTATATTCGCATTTATTTCCACAACAAACCACAGTGAAACTGCAACGGATGAGAAAAGCGGTATATATTTAAATAGTTTTATTTCAAAGGAAAAGCGTATTATTGTACAACATTATAGCGGAAGCTTGAGCATAGGTCGTTTAGCATTTCAATTGTAATTGCCAATTCGTTGTCCTTTGAAAAGATCTGAAACAGACGAAACAGGTTATGTATTATTTATAACACATGTGCATTTAATCGCAAGTTCACTGACAATGAGTAAGAATTTAAGCTATCTAACGAAATAATGTTTATTAAAAAATAAGTACAACGTAAAACAAAATTGCACAGACTACATTCTTCATCCACGTATGTCCGGTTATTGAGAGTGAAAACAGTCGTCCTGTGAATTCTGAATAGTAAAGAAGAAAATAAGTCAAAATGACATCTGAAAAACACGCTAAAGCATGTCCCAAGACACAGCCAAATACTTTAAGCTAAACTTACGGTTATGTTCGTTAAGACTGTTGACTGTAACTATAAAGCAGTAGGGAAATTATCACTTTAAATTAGTACATACCTGCTCTTGTTTCCGTCGATTACGCTTCATCAACTTGTCTCTGACGTCATGAAAATAACCTTGTGTTGCGATGTCGTACAGCTTCGCAAGGTCTTTTTCATTAACCGAGGATGACAAGAAGCGATTCGTCAATGCACCTGAAGTTTAATTTATAATTATATGCCACTTCATATGCAGCCATAAAACCGGCATTTCTGAAGTGCGTGCTTTGAAGAAGTGCCGAGCAACGTGAAATTACTGGCCAACTCAGGTGTCATGATGTACGACAAAACATAACTCATCGACGTTTTAGGGTCATCACCGATTAACCTAGTCAGCATCGCCATCTGTTATACGAAAACGTTATTAAATTAATGTTGTTGGCTTACAAATCTGTCCGTGGTTTCCTTCTGCTGCAAACCAGTGTCCAGCATCTGCAGTTCGTCTTCCGATGACAAAGGGAACTGCCGCAATCGAAATGATGAAGATCTTCGCGTTCACTGAACTTCGCTAGTAGTAGCTTTAGATTTGCACTCAAGTCAGTCATAGCTGAAGACATGTTTTGCATCATTTTACTCAAGTCAGCGACAGCTGACGACATGTTCTTCAACGTTGTGTGAAACCTGTCAAATCTGAAAAACTTCACTTGATGGTACAGTTGACTTACTGGACCGCTGAAGTACAGTCTACATGCTTAGGTTCTAATGTTGATGGTGATGTTTCTAATTGTGTCGAACTACTTCAAGTTCATCTATAGATGAACTTGAAACTGCTAAAATTAGTATTCAAATTTCTCAATGAAAGGAACTACAAAATGGACATAAACCAAAGGGACCAGGATTCTTTGTCCGCAAACATTTTCCGACCGCGGACTGTATAAAATGACGGTAAGTTAAAATAAACTAAATTTAAGGTTAGGTGACGGTGAGGAGTGCCTTATTTTGTAAATTTTCAAGTAATGAGACATGAACAGATAATGGTGCAGAAGCAACCTTAGGTGCGGCACAAAACCATTTCAATGGTCTCTGGTTCTTTTACACAAATGCTCGAAGCTTGCTTAACAAGCGATCGAGTATAAGTGTGCAGATAAACTCTAACGATCAAGAATTGGTCTCAGTCACAGAAACGTGGCTTTTGAATTCTGCAGACAGTAGTGAACATGATCCAAAGTGTAAACTATGGGTAGATCTGTTCATCAGAAATACTTTCTTGTTTATTGATAACACACCCCATGAAAGTTGGGCGTATGAATTTTGAAATGCGAAGGAAAAAAGCTGCTGTTTGGTTTATTCTACCAAAGTCCAAATTGCTGGGTGAAAAAGGTCTTGCTAGACTGTTTCAGCACCGGATCATCACGTGGTCGACGTTTGGTCTTAGGGGACTCTAAGGCACTTCCAGACTGGGAAAATCGGAGGAGTACATTTTTAGATATATCTCTGTAACAGGAACTAGTTGATGCGACTGTAGCGTGGTGTCGAGTTGAGCTTGACTATGAACACCGCTACAAGACTACGTGACAATAGACCAATAAGATTCCGGTAGGCCAAAATTCAGAAGGCAGATGATGGCTGTAGTCGAGATGTATTTGTTGGAGATCTCGTGGTATCGAAAGAATACCGAGATCGTGCCAAAGGAGTACAAGCGTGGTTACTGAGCGTAACCGGATCCGTACAAGTTCAAAGTCAACGGGAGAGTAAGTATATTGGCTGTCATTAGCACAGTTAAACAAACGAGCACAGTAAAACAGTCGCTGGTACAATTGGTTATAATAATAATTGTTTTCATTGAACCAACCGCGTTCTGTTAACAAAAGTAGGTCACTACAGGGGCCCCTCGCTAGAAAGGGTTTACACTTTCGATAGTTAGCGGTTTGATTCGTGGGACTGATCGGCAGAAGTGCGGTTGTAGGACGAAGGAAATTGGCGGAACATGAAGTGATCGTTGATCCTCGAGTTGCCAACGAAAGTTTTTTGCGCAGAACGGTACCAGAAGAAGTGTGCTGTATTTGTTGGTCGAGTTAGCATACCACACCAGAGTGGTTTGTATCCAGGATCTGATGATTGCATTTGTAGGGATGCGGACCAGAAAACGCAGACGTAGGACGAAACCACGTTGAGCCAAGAAACCGGAAGCGACCATAACGACCAAGCGGATTCGAAACCAGATTATTGACTGAGTGCGTTGACTAGAGCATGGGTGGCCAAACCAGCTTTTGCCACAGTTGACTGAAGTCGACGTTACCAAACGGGCGATGGTCGGAGGCATGGGCTCAGGATACAAAAAAAATCAAAAAAAGAAAAGTGTAGCATGCGCGTAGTATACGAATAATCCTACACCGTATCTGTTATTGACTGTGCGTTCAGTCGCGAAAGCGTACGGGTAATCGTACTCGGCGACCGGAACGTGAGACGGTGGTCTCGTTCGTACTTCGTGAGCCTGCGATCTCATCCGAGGTCAAGGTCGGCGTGGTCTGCCGATCTGGACGTGAGGCGGAAGTCTCGTCCGTAGATGGTGCAGATGACGCGTGCTGTTGACCGGGACGTGAGAACGAGGTCTCTGATGTATGTAACGTGGGATCCGAGGTAGACGTAGAGATCCCGCTAGAAGGTTTGATAGGTCTAGCATTGAGTCTCAAGTTAT